TTATGCACGGCATGTGTTCAAATACAACATATTTCTGAAAGTAGAAGAGTCCTGAGATTTTGTGAAAGACTGATCACTGACCTCAGACACAGGGTTGTACAGATTCTGTGAAAATTATAAATTGCTTGCTATATGCATCAGGGTCATTTAGCTTACCTGAGGCAAAGGCGCCTACTGCTTTGAAAAACCTCAATAATGGTGTGACAGTGCTATCCAATGAACTGAAATCAATTGGACTCACTCCTAGGAAATTAGAAAGAGGATTGTAACCTGACCGTGGTTTCTTTGTGGCCTCCCACTCAACATCAAACTTCAGTGGCCACGACTGCCAGTATCAGATCATTACAAACAGCCTCAAACTATTTCCTGACGTGGTCATACAAAGCTGCCTTATACCGAGACAGGCAATCTAACTCAGTACGGTCAATTCTGGCTGGTAGCAGCTCTCCAGGGCCTCCGGCAAAAAGTCTAGCCCATCACCTACTGGTTGGTTAGAACGTGGTGCTGATAATGCCAAGGACACAGGTTTGATCCCCGTATGAGGCAGCCACATATTCCTGCATTTCAGGAGGTTGGACTAGATGGTCCTCAGGGTCTCTTTGAACTCTACAATTTTATGAATCTATGGCCATTTAACTGGAGATGCTGGGAGTTAAACTTCTGCACAAGAAATATGTACTTCACCACTGAGTCAAATCTTCCAAGTGTTCTGTGTGTTCTCAGCACATGAGCCAAGCATGACTGATCTGCTCTAATGTGACAAGATATGAAAAGAACTAAATTATAATTAAAGTCAGGAGAACAGCTTCTCCTTTGGCCGAGGCAGGAAAGAAGTGGGGAGGCTGCAGAAGAGGACGTGGCTTTCGTGGCTTTCGGCTTTGCTGTGCATTTGCTTCTTTATCTTGAGCCGTGGAGAGAGGCAAAGGAGATAACCATGGGAAACCTGTGCTTCAATTCTTCTATATAAAGAATGGCCTGTTTTCATCCATGGAGACACTCTGCTCTTATTATCTCGATGAATTAAAGCACCACTGAAGATTTCTTTTTTGTTTTATGTAGTGAGCTCAAACCCAGTCAGTTGCCGAACTACAATATTTTCCGCAGACACACACTCTCAGAGCATCCTATTTGCAGGCTTTATTTTGCTATAAATTTGAGTTTAAAATTAAGTTGCACATTTCTGGTAAAACAAAGTGATAAAACTTAATGATCACTGAAACTTTAGTGAAACTGTGTTTTACTAGGTTCACTTCTCTGTTCTCCTGAGATTGTAACAGGGCAGTAAATTGAGAACTGATAGCCTAATTGGCTGAAGACCCTGCTTACCCTTTGGCAGCAGGGCAAGGCTGAAAGATTACAGCACAAAGCTAATTTTATCCTGTCTACAATCAGTGAAAGCAGAGATTAAAAAGACCCATTAGGGTAGTCAGTAAACCTCTTAGACAATGTAAAATTGTTACTTTCACAGAACACTTTCCCTATAACTTTTGTCTAGCTCTGGTTTCAAATGATAATTAATGGACCTTTATCTTTTGAGAGTCTCCAGACCTAGAACAAAAATATTTTCTCTGTGGTGTTTGGTTCAAGTTTACTTTTTCTCAGCAGCTGGTGATGTGGGGGCAGAATTTAGCCACTGCTACTGAGTAGCAACTTTGGGAAAAGGGACCTTCCTAAGCATTATGTTAAGGAGAAGGTAGCAAAGGAAGCTGGGTTAGTGCTGGCCAGCCTGGCTGACTAGCCAATAGCATCTCCCAAGGGCCACTGACATCATTGGTCTGCACCTACATTAGGCAGCGATGGCCAATCAGGAAGCACATAGTTGCTTAATCCTGTGATAGCAGCTCCTTTCCTTGGCTCTGCTCAAGCAAGGATGTGGTGTCCACCGTTCCCTTAGTTGCTGCTCAGTGATGATGGCCAGGAATTGGTTCTACCATGGAAATATTTAGCCAAGTAAAGTTGATGCAACCACCACTAATTATGACTATGCAGAGAGATGAACTATTCCTCTCTATCCCCCCCCAAACATATTTAAATTGTTGCATTTGTATACTGCCCCTTCCTTCTTTCCTCCCTTCCGTCCAATGTCTCAAAGAGCTGTTTTAGCCCCATACAATCATGTGTGGTGAGATGTGTGCATGCACTCTGCGTATGAGAGAGCACTGCCCAAAGGTACATGGAAAACGTTACTGTTAATTGGGAATCTGAAGCATTATTTCCCCTCATTCAAAAGCTACAATCTTCACTTCGGCACATTCCCCTTGCTTTTCATTCTATCACAAAGCTGACCAGGAGAGCAGATGCTTTTCCTGGCCTGTAGATGTGAAGATGTACAGGGCATGGCAGCAACCTGACTACCTCTACCGGCCCAGTGCTGAGCAAAGGTGCAAAGCTGCCTCCAGCGTCTGGCCTGAAAGCACATTCACAGCACCTAAGACAACCTGCTCCTAAGATACATAAACATACATAATAATTCATAAACATTTTTACATGCTCATAGCTTCACCTGTAAGAGGTGCCAAGGCTTGAATGAAATCCAGCAATTAAGGGAAGGGAGAATAATACATTGTAAAATAAGAAATGGAGAACAAGATAGATCAATAAATCTCTTTTCTAATCTATAGAACCCTGAGATAAATCTATTCAGGGTTTTTTTCATTTGGGAAGGAAATGTAGTTCTGTAAACTCCAAATCTGTGTTGCCATTGCTGGGGCCTTCTTCATATGTCAATGTTATATTTTCTACTATTATTGTATTTAAACTCCCTTTTAGATTTACCCTCTCCACTAAATGCAGACTTGCTCCCTTTTAGATTTACCCCCTCCCCTAAATGCAGGAATGTCTTCAGAAATCTGGTATCCCTTAAATCCTATATTTATGATCAATGCCAATGTTACGTTAAAGACTTGCATAATAACTGCAAAAAACAAGTTACTGAATCCTTACTTTCCTTCTGTTTGTAAAAAGAAAATCTATATTAAGAACTTTAGCAACACTGACAAAAATGGAATGGAAAAGGATTTTATGAACAAGGGAGTTTATTTTTTAAAAATGTGTAGATCCGCTGAATTAATGCACACCAGCAGGTACTGATGAATTCAGTCAACCTTGGCAAGTCTCATGAACACTGGCGCTACTATTTGAGGACTCGTGGCAAACTGATGTCGTCTCAAGGGATTAGCAAATGTGAAATTGCATGAATGTCAGGCAGGGAGGTGGGAGCCCTGCCATAGAGACGAACCAATACAGTCCTGATCCCCTATTGCACATGCTTTCTAAGCATTAGCCAAACTACAGAAGAGGCCAAACTACAGAAAATTAAAAATGGGGGGAAGAAAGAACGTCAAGGGCAATGGAATTATTTATAATACACATGGTTTTAAGACAACAAATCCTGCCCGACTAAAACCGGTTTACTAAAATTGAATTCATATGCCTGTACTTCAGCAAAAAAAATTCTGACAACCCAAAATTGCATTCTCAAAAAAAGTAAGATCACCAAGTTAAAGGCAGTGGCATGATTCAACTTGGGAACTTGCAACTTGCAATACCATATCTTAGACCTTACACTATAACCAGGATATGAGAGAGGTGGATATGGGCAGCAAAACCAAAATAAAGTGGCCCCAGGTAAGGCTGGGGTTAGATGTGATTCCTAGAATAGCAAATGTTGAAAACTGCTACAGGCACATCTTTTGCACAGGGAAAAACAAAGTTCTGCTGGAATTTCTTTATAGTGAATTTATGCCAGCATGCAGTAATACCTACAAAAGCAAGTTAAGATATTGTTCAAGATTTTCATTATACAGCGGTACCTTAATTATCAAACTTAATCCATTCCAGGAGTCCATTCGACTCCTGAAACCATTTGAAAACCAAGGCGCAGCTTCTGATTGGCTGCAGGAACTTCCTGCACTCAGTCGGAAGCCGCAAAAGCCATGTCGGACGTTCAGCTTCCAAAAAACGTTTGCAAACCAGAACACACACTTCCAGGTTTGCAGTGTCCAGGAGCCAAGCTGTTCAAGTACCAAGGTACCACTGTACATATAAAGGAGTGGGCAGTAGCTATAAATGTGGATGATGCAAAATGGAAAGATGCCATTACATTACAGAAGAAACAGAAAATTCAGAACAATCATGAACTGGAGCACCAAAAAAATGGCAACAATATCAAATATCGCAAACATACACATACCCATTATGCTAATGCCCTGTTTCCTCCAGCAATGCATAGTCCAAATAAATCTAATGGGTATTCGGCAATAAAATATATTTACACATTCCTTCTAGCATGATACAACACCAGCCCTGCTTCTCTTTAAAGAAACTGCCTTTTCTTGTTCTCTACAGAAGAGTGTTCTCTGTTTAGTTCTTACTACCTTCCACTTATGAATATGTATCATCAACACGAAGTAACCAATTTAAAAATATGAACTTCCAAAATAGACACACTAAGTACAGCTTTGGCTATGTGGGGGGAGGCCTCTTTTTGCTGATGGGCTGGATCTGCTGTCCACAGGCTTTGGGAAGACATGGCTTAAGTTTCAGTTGTGGCTACAGAGTGTGTAGATCAGACAAACAGCAGATTCTAAAAACACAGGATGAGATGCTGTAAGCTGGTTAGGTTGGCTATATTATCTAATTATTGGCTGGCAATCAGCAACCAACACCCACACAATCCAACTGCTGAGCCATCATTGTCAAACCACAGCATGGTTCATGAGAGAGACAATTCTGGATAGTCGTAATTATGAATACATAATGTGGAAAGGTTAAAAGGTAAAATATGAGAAGCTGCCACATAACGAGTCCTTCAGCCCAGAACTGTATTTCCTGACAGGCACCATCTATTCAGAGTCTCATGCTGGGTCTCTCCATCCTTGTGCCATCACATTTTAAAGCGATTGAATCAGGCACTTTCCATGTGTAGACAGTATGTTATACCACTGAGCTGCAGCCTTTCCTCTGCTGGAAGGCTACTGCAATCAAATAAACGAAAATACCTGCAGAGCACCTATTTCTTCCTCCTTCCTGAGAGTCTTCTCCAGTAGATCTGCATATTCAAAAAAGAAGAAAAAAGAACATCAAGAAAAGGGAAACAATGTGCCTTATGAATTGATGCAAATGAACAGGTACATAAATGCTGCCAAACTTGAACCATCCCCAAACTAAAAGAAATCAGAAAATCAGCCTCATTATCTCACAGGAGGCCAGGATTCAGTAAATAGAGTTTCAAATTAGAGGTACTTATAATTATAAGCCAGATGTGCCACTCACTTGCTCATCAATTGATTCTGAGCAAGTCGCTGATTGAGAAATTGTACCTGTTTCTTCCTTCCCTGCTATTATTCCCAACTACTGGTCCCACTCCTTTAGAAACCAGGCCTGGGTGATGCCCTGTTTCTTGGGCATCTTTGCCATGCCACCTCAGCAAATGTAACAGCCCTGTACAGTACTTCTCTTTCTTAAGATGGGGGAGCAGCAGTGTTGTTCTATGGAGGCTTTGGGGCTCTCTTTCTCATGGACCTTTAAGGCCAAATACACAGTGATATTGTTCCACTGCAAGATGCTCTTTTCCATGATAAAAAGAGCAAAGCAGGGTTATCTTGGCTGATCAGATACTGTGGAGCAGGCCACAAGAGTGGGCCCTGTAGAGACATCAAGCAGCAGGGGAGGAGAGGAAGAGGGGAGGGGCAAGTAAAAGATGAAGGCCTCCAGACATTGCAAAAATATTTGCACAGCTGACGTAAACACCTCATTCTGGGGTAAAAACAAAAGTTATAATTTTCTTCAAAAGTAGTTGAATTATATGTAGAAAGCTAAATATAGGTTGTCAAACGTGTCTCCCCCTAACCAGGAGGGAGGAAAGCATATTTGTCATTTATTTATTTAGATTATTTTAATCCACCAATCCCAGAGGCTGTGTGTAAGCATACATTTCATCACAAAAATATTCAAATTTATATTCTATCCCCCCACAACTAAGTATTAAAATCCATGCCATTTTCTCATTGGGAAGAAAACGGAAGAAAGATTCATTAAATAAGAGCTTGCAAGTCAGAATGTAGAAATTTAGAAACTTCACTTGTGACCAGAGCAGGTCAGCTCTTGCCAGCACGAACAATGGACAGGGATGATGCAATGTTGGAGTAGAACAACATCGGGAGGCCACAGGCTCTCTACCTCTAGCCTACATCATAAAGTGAACTAGCCTACTGAAAAAATGGCTTGGCAGCTCATACAAGTATACTGTGCAGGGAGCTACCACTGGAGAAGAATATAGAACACATTTATGAACACTAGGGATTGCAGTCTATACGGTAAGCTAGCCTTTTGGCATCGGACCACTATGGTTAGAGATAATGTCAGGATCCTCTATCAAAGATCCTGCACAGATCATGAAATATTGAGCGACAGAACCCTGCTATTATTTCCTTTGAGCTGTTTAACTCTGGGTAAGTGGGATCACATCCTGCAAGCACAAAATGAGCATACTGCAACTATCTTTAAATGTATGGAACACCTCCACTATTTTCCTGGATATCAAAATCCCTAACAGCCCAGCTAAGAACTAACAGCCACAAACTATTAAACACAGGTAATATTTCTGTATATCTGTTGCAGACAGAGTTGAGCGTAAGCATGAGTTCCTTCATCCTCCAAACAAGATTAATATTTAGGAAGGCGCAACAAATTGGTAGGAGTTGAAAAGGACAGCCACTGAACAGGATCTTAAAACATTTGTCAGCACATTCTCCTATTTTATTATACCCATAAAAAGAAAGCACTATCCCTTGCCTGAGCTTAGGCTATTCAAAACAAATCACATGTGCTTCAGCTGGATTTTTATATATATATATAAAATCCCCTTTCCAAATTCACCCAAAATCAACAGCCAATTCTTGTGTGGAAAATACAGGATCATATTTTAAATCATCTTACAATATACACAAAACAGGCCATTGTCTAGCAGACTCCCTTCAGTTACGACTTAACTTGTGAATAATTAAGACACCTAAGCTTCTGCCTTGGTCTGCTGCCACCAATTGGCTAACAGGCTAGCTTAAGATGTTAGCCCAACTGTGGCATCAATCTCCTTCTGATCAGAAATCATGGCAGGAAACTTGTGGGGTAGAATTAAAAACAACATTCCAGAAGAACGGATACCCTTTGTGGTTTGTCTCAGACACTGAAACAACATGACAGTCGGCAGACAAATTCCCAAATACTAAATCAATGAGGTTTTCATATCCCATCATAAGTCTTGACTATGTGGGAAGCTGCTGTACAGGTCACTGAGTGGCTCTATTCCCCCCCCCTCCAAAGTTCGGTTTTCTGTGAACCTACTATACACAAACAGAGTCAGATGAGCAAACTTAGAGAATGGACTCCTTTATCCTTTATGCCCCGTATGAGAGACACAGATAGGAGCAGTTTGTGCTTTCAGAAAATGGGTTGTTCATTAATATGCTGTAACTTTGATCCAAACTGATTAAGAAGCAGTTCAATTTGGTATCCATAAACCTCATCGCTGAGGCTGCTAAAAATTGTGCCAATTGTGATAGCGTACTTTGTGATGCGGAACAGCTGCTCCCTAGGACCTGAATGGAAAATACCTACCTATTCATTTCGGAAGGGACGCTGAGCAAGCAGTAGCTGGCAACAGACCTGGAATGTATTTCAAACTCTCTCAAATTCAGCAGATAAGTCCCTACCCTCTTGCAGCACTTAATCTGGTGCATGTGTTTTAAACAGGCCTCTTTGTACTGGATGAATAAGAAATTATTTTCATTTTATGGTTGCACTGCTCAATTCTTCCTGTGCTGCCAATATGGGAAAATATAGGTCCACCTTTAAAGATAGTATATCGTAACATTATCAATCAACATAGAGGAGCCCTGAATAAAGCCAAAAGAAAGTAGATGTGGAAACATTTTCTTTCTCCCTTATAATTCTGAAACAAGCGTCGTCCGATGAAGCTGAATGGTGGGAGATTCAGGACAAACGGAAGGAAGTACATCTTCACACAGTTCATAGGAAATTATGGAATTTGCTATGACAAGATGGAGTGACGGCCACCAACCTGGGTAGCTTTAAAAGGACGGTTAGTCAAATTGATGGAAGATAAGGCACAGAGCCTAGGACTTGCCGATCAGAAGGTTTGTGGTTCGAATCCCCGTGGCGGGGTGAGCTCCCGTCGCTCGGTCCCTGCTCCTGCCAACCTAGCAGTTCGAAAGCACGTCAAAGTGCAAGTAGATAAATAGGTACCGCTCCGGCGGGAAGGTAAACGGCATTTCCGTGTGCTGCTCTGGTTCGCCAGAAGCGGCTTAGTTATGCTGGCCACATGACCCGGAAGCTGTACGCCGGCTCCCTCGGCCAATAAAGGGACATGAGCGCCGCAACCCCAGAGTCGGACACGACTGGACTAATGGTCAGGGGTCCCTTTACCTTTACGGCTATCAAAGATTAGGAGTCATAATAGCTGCATCAGAGGCAGTACACCTCAGAACATCAGTAGCTGGAGAACATGAGCAGAAGAGTGTTGTGCTGCTCATATCCTGCTTGCAGGCTACCTATGGACATCTGGCTGGCCACTGGCAGGAACAAAATGCTGTACTAGATGGGACTTTGGTTTGATCCAGCAGGGCTAATGTTTTATGCACTCATCCTTTTGTTCTTAAAATGCTGACAATAGAATTTGAATGGCTGGAGAACTGAAGGACAGAAAGAAGGAACAGGAAAGAAGGGGGGAAATATACACTAACATTTCTGAAGTGCAGCACAAATGTTTATTTAGAAAACGGGTCAAGAAGCTGCTGTGCTTCCTAGTTTTACTTATAAAAATAAAAATGTGTATGTGGGTGTTCTTCTTCTCTGAGATTATGTCTGCATAGGAGAAAATTTATGTCTGTGTAGCACTGTATGCCAAGATTGGTCCCTTTCTAAATTGGGGATTAAATGTTAACTGAAATTCAGAAATGTGGACAATCACTAGTGATTGTCAAGTTCACACGAAAGCACAGAGAAGGTCGATAAAACTGATCATAAAAACAAGAAAGTTTGTACACTGCCTGGTCAATATGCACTTGGTAGCTAAGCACATTGATCAAGTAATGTACAAACCCCAGAGGTGAAATTCAATTCTTCATCCTAAATTGGAGACACTACATATTGACCGGACAATGTATGCATTTCCCCATTCATGCTGTCAATTTTTATTGTTGCCATTTATGCACATTCCTTTGACAACTCACATTAATTTCAACACCTCTGCAACTCTAAAAATCCAAACTTGTTTCTGGGCATCCAAAAATAAGGCTGCAAAACTGAAGGTCCATAACAAAAGCAGAGACTCCATGCCAAGCTGGCCTACACGGCTACTTCCCAATCTAGGCAAACTTTCTCCTCAGGTCTGTCAATTTGATGAACTCGCAACTCAAAGGGATATGAAAGTGTAGATGAGGTTATAACTCTGACGCCCACAGCTCATGAAAGGGTCACAGAGAAGACCCTTTAAAGCCAAACGGTGACCCAAAGTTAGTTTTCACCAGACATAATGGCAGCAATGGGTGTGCTCCTTTGAAGAACGAAGTGGGTTTCCTATATCAGATGCCGAAATGCTCAAAGTGGACTTAGTATACGAGCAAAATAAAGCAACTCTCCTGAACGTCTAACATTTCTGTTTCTACTCCTGACATAACTTTGAGGCATCCCACTGTAACCCTCCCTGCAACCCCCCTACCTTTGGTTATATTTTATATCGTTTATTCTTAGCAAGATTTGACACTTTGGGCAGCAGATATGTCTTGTACTTAATCCATTTTAATGTATTTATAATATGCAACCTACACATTACCCGAAAGGCAATTATCGAGCAATTATAGATTCACAAGCCAACTACACAGTTCCATCTGTCAAATGAAAAGGGCATTTGTTGCCAGAATTTCTGTTGCAGCTGACAAAGTAGACTCTCAGAGGTACTATTCTGCATAACTGCAGTTTTGGGCTTCAGTCCACAGAACCATTCTGTCACAAGGCTTTTTCCTCACAGAG